TATTATTCAATACTTTTTTCAAAATATATGAAATTTATAATTTTTAAAATTATAAAAAATTTATTATTATAAAAAATAAACGTGTGACACTAAAATACTAATAAACTCAACCACTATACACACTGCCTACTTCATTAACTTGTGACAAGATCCCATCCAATTCACAACCTGGAACCGTGCGGTATGGGGGTGTTTGCACAATTCAAAATGCTAACATTTTTACACATCTGTCACCATAATAGAAATTAATGACTTATTTGGCACACGTTTAAAAATATTTACAAAACTAGCACCGGGGCGCTCCTTCGACCCCGTAGTGTAAAGCGCGGTGCATGGGACGCACCTTCCTGCAAAGGATGTTAGATCGAAAAATATAATCTGAACGGTGCCTGACAGAGAAATATATAGGGTTAGGGTGATATTTCAGAAAATACGTCGATGTTTTTATTGACAAACCTTCAAAAGATGTATTTCTATTGAAAATGATAATATTTGGTCAGTTTGAGAATGCTTTGGTAATGAAAAATTATTTTCCAACTCCACAAATAATATTAAATACCAAAATTTAATTTAAAATCATAATTGAAAATAATTTTCAACATAATCTTAAAACCTCAAATTTTTATCTTTTATTGTGAAAATGAAATTATATTTTTACTCTTAAATATTATATTTTCAATTTACAAAATAATGTTTAAATTTTATTTTTTTTCAAAATCACTTTTTAACAACAATTTCGAACAATTAAATTTTAAACTACACTTTTCAATAACACTTTTAAAATTTATTTATGACACATTTTAAATGATTTTTTTAAGAGTAATATCAAACTGGCCAAGTATATGTTAAAGCTTTAAGGAGTAAAATTGAACTCTTAATTTAATTTCAAATAATTTACAAAGCTCATGAAGAGATTGTAGCATTTTAACACTTGTCTGTTCGTAAAGAGATTGTAGCGTATAATTGCAAAGGCAAAATAATCAAAACGGTCCCCTGAAGAGACTAGAAAGTGAACTTACACCGCTTCTCTCCTTTCCTGTTCCATTTTCTTCTACCACTGGCTTTTCCAGACCCTGTAAATGACCTATTTTCTTCTCCGATCTGTTTCCTTGGATTGAGTTTATGTTGAATTATGAAATTTTGCTCGTCTTCATTAACCTGTGTTGCTTCTGGGCCATATCTTTCAGCTCATCTTTCGCAACCACTTTCCGATTCTTTGTAACAGTAGTAGTATGTGGCTCAGAAGGATTCTGGTTCGTCTCAACCAATTTTTGCTTCTTCGACATCCTTCCCTTGCCGTCAGAATTAGATAAGGATGGGGCACGTCTTTTATCCTTCTTCATTGGAGATTGATTATTGATCGAAATTGTCATTTAACTTTGGTTGTAGGCTGTCTTTCTCGTCAGTGACTATCTCTGCACAGGGACCAGCCTTCACTGTTTCTAAAATAATTTTGCCAAGCACATATCTTGTCTCGCATGGATCCCCTTTGCCAAGTAGGTGATAGTTAATCTTAGGACTTCTTCTCCCTCTACCTTTTGTAAAAGATTTCAGGTCAAAGTTTAGCAGAATTCTTGGCAGTACTCTTCGCTATAAACACCTGGAAAAAGAAAAACGTATTTACTAAATCAAGATACTTGTACAGATACGTTCGTGTACCAGAACAATGCCAATTATTGACGAGAAACCGAAACCGAAACCAAATCAAGGGATGGTATAGAAGCATTTCTGATGACAGGTTAATTTATCTTCGGTATGGAAAACATGAACATGTCTCTCTGATCAGAATGCTAAAAATTCAATGAAGTGGATGTCAAAGGCACTTACCAAACCAGAGCGTAGAGAAAATGGATATCTTGACATTGATTCAAGCAGATTGCTAGTCCTTTTTAATGCCCATACAGCATCTCGCACTAAAGATGCAAACTGAGCAACTTCTTTGGCAAGATCTTCATCTGATTTAGTTACTGAAAATCCTGAGATTTCAGGAACGAATTTAACTTCCGATATACCAAGTTCTCTTGCAAATTCAACACCTGACTTCCAATTTCCATGATATAGAACAGAAGCAAAGGTTCAGACAACAAGAGCATCTTGAGGGTTGTTTACCAATGCCAGGTGAAACATCAACAATCCAACCCTGTTCTATGCAGGAAAAAAAATGATTAGGGACATCTCGGATACTGAAATACATCACATGATAGCATGAAAATCCACTTTACCATCCACCAGTTCCTTGAATTTACATATTATGATAATTCCTCTTAATATGAACCATCATATGCAATGCAAAAATATTTCCAAACATATATGCTCGTTCTTCTCGGCAATAATATTTTCAACCCAATCTGAGAGAGGCTCAAACAGAGATTGCAAACTTTCAAGTGAACTAAAAGAAAGTCTAACCACTCTTTACAATAGCCAAGAGTTTATTGATAATGATAAAGATAAAGAAGAAATATTGTGATATTATATGCTTGAGAACCAAAAATAAGAAGAAGAGACACGTAGCTCACCATAGACTGCTATCGGCAGGATGATCACAAGACACCAACTTCTCCAAATTGAAGAATAGTTTCTGCCAAAAAGACAAAAGACAGATTCAGGAAGTCAAACCATAAAGCTTAAATTCTTGTGTTTGAAAGACCTTATTAAAGGTCAGAGGTATGCAAGCCAGTGGAAAGTATTTCTTTCTTTGAAAGTATCATATTGGCTGGAATAATATTTTGAAAATTTTCTCAATATAAAATTTTCATGCTGAGCATACCAAACCAGCTAAGCATAATAAAAGATTATATTTTGCAGATAATAACTAATTATCATATTGTTGTCATAACTCAAAAAGCATTCAGATTGCTCTTTCTATAAGAAAAACGTTAACATTCTAGACAACTATTAATATACACTAACATCTCTTAATCACTTTGAATTCCAAATACTTTTAATAATGAATATTTATATTATCCCAAAAGTAGGTAAACAGACCTGACAAAGCCAACTTGAATCGAATAGCAAAACAAAATTTCATAATCCTTTCATGCTACAAATAAGGACTTCATCAGCAATGTTAGTAATACAGAATCTAAAACCAAGCTCACCATCAGCATCATTGAATTCTTGGCAGATCTCTGTTGATGTACGCTGCCTGCAAAGCAAACAAGTCTCAGCTAACCTCTACAAAGACAATAAATTAAATTACGGACAACCATAAGCTAAAAATTTGTGAACCTGAAATGGAAGTAAAATGTTCAGCAGGTTAAATCTCTGGAGCAAGCAGATGGACGGCGCAGCAGCTCCATATGACAGCATGTAGTTCATTTCCAGCATTAATCTGCCCTGGATAAATGAAGAATATTATGATGATAAATAATAGGCAAATATTGATAAAATCATCTTAATTTTACACCAAAAAAGAATAGGATCCAAAAGCGAAGGGCTGTAAATTGGCCACAGTATGGTTGGTTCTTTGTGCCTAGTTGAGGCTTACCAAGAACAAATCAGAACGGTACTAGAAAGGGAGGCAAAAAAAGAATCATAGTCACCAACGGGGGAGAGAGAGACACAGAGCAAGAACAAGTGAGAAAGAGAAACTATCTAGGCAGCAGAAAAGTTCTCAATTGATAATTCTGAACTACCTTATCTAATCCCTAAATGGAGGCCGAAAGATCGTGCATTGCCCTCTCAGTATCCTCTGAAATTGATAAGTGTAGACCAGCTGCAATTCTCAAGCCCCGGAGAATTCTTGCTAGGTCAGAAAAAATTGTAGTAAATTTCCGTTAATGTCTCATAATGTAGCCGTTCATCCATAAAAAAACATATAAGATTCTGCACTCAATAAAGTTAAAGTCACCTACCACACTCCTCTTGAAATGACACATGAGCAGGGAATAACGTCCGTAGCTGAGTCAATGCAACAAACACAAGTCAGAGGGTAAACATCAGTGCAGGTTATGAAACACAAAATTGTTATTGGCAGAGGTGGAGAATCACCTTTAACAACTTCAGGTCCGACATTCCATCATTGTAATCATAGATGTTACACGTAAAAGGCTCAAAAAATAAGCTGCACCCAGAACTCATTCAAAATCATTATCAACCAGATGGCATCAAACTCATGGGGAAGATGAGAAAGTGAGGCCTCAACAAGCTAATATATGGACTACAATAGCTCTTTCCATGGAATAAAAATACATGAGAACTAATACCTGTTAATAGTGAAGTCCTGAACCCTGTTATTTCTCCAGCGTATTAAATCTTTTTTATCGCATCTTTTTGGGATCAAAGATTATAAAGCTTTTACTTTTTCTTCATTATGTTTTGCAACTGTCTCAAAGCTTGATACCTATAAGAACATACAAAATCAATATTAAATATTAAGAAACTTCTCCCTACCGAGGCATTATATACCAGAAGTAACATAAGAAGTTACCATAGTAATGAATCAAGAAATTGACCTCAACTACAGAACCGTTTATATGCACCATGCATATTGGAAATCTTCGTCCAACAATCACAGCTCGACGAAATTTCTTTATTATCTGTAGTAAGATATTACGAATAGCAATTGAAAACTTTTATATCAACCCACATTCCCCTGTAAATTCTAACTAGAGAAGAATACCAAGAATATTGTGACCAAACCTGTTTAAGATTTGCAGTGGTAATCACATCAAAATCTTTAGGTATTCTATTTAGTAGTAAATCTCTAACACAGCCGCCAACTAAATAGGCCTCAAAACCCGAAATATGTAAGGAAAATATAACTATTAGCATTGCTTTTGATTAAAAAAATGTAACCAAAGGAGTAAACTAGCGTAGCAAAATTGAAAGCTTCACTTGCAATTTTCAGCTTAAAGACGCTAAATTAACGAGACCTGGGCAATGTGAAGCAATTAATAAAAACAAATGGGTAACGTAAAAGATGATTACCTCCTTTATGAAGAGCATCTAATACAATCCATGGCGGATGCGAAATCATAGAGACAGATATCCCCACCTTACTTGCTTGGATTTTCTTCCAATTTGACGTGTCAACTACATCAACTTTTAATAAGAATCGAGGGTTTCAATTCCCACATAATGATTGGAAAAAGAGAAATGCAGAACGGAAGGTTAGATCAGACATAGTGTGATACTTGGTGGAAGAGTGCGATTAGCCGCTGGAGCCATTTTAGAATATAATTCAGCTTGCAAACTTCTTTCGCCTAACGTGGTGTGGTTGCACCTCTGAGCCAAAAACAAATAAATAAATAGCAAGACTTGGTTTTATGTCGAAAAGATATTCGACGAGTTGCCACAAACAAAACCAAAACCAAAGACAGAGGCAAAAGAAAAACATGGCGACACCTGAAAGCGAGACAAGGATTTGAGAGATCAGAGAAGTGGAGAAGGACTTTTTGGCTCTCAAAAAAATCGACATGGGTATCTGAGTTAGGTCTTGTTTTGTCTGCGTGTTAGAGGTCATCAAAATATTGATGCAGCTGATCATCGAATTGAATTAATTAGAAATTTTAATTATTAAATGAATTAGTTGAGATTTATTCTAAATTTTCTTAACTAGAATAATTTGAGTCCAGTATAAATATTTTTTTCATTCGAACTAAATTCGATTGGGTCTCGAAAATTTCATTGATCTAATATGATTAAAATTTAAACCTTCACTAGAAAAAGCATATATACGACCAGTGTTGTCTTTAACATTTCTAATTCAATTAATTGATACAACTATCTAACAAAATATTGTACAATTTAAACATTTGAAGTCCTTTATTACTGAAAACATACATACATATTCCAATTTCTTTGGCAATTGTCCATGCCTAACAATTAATGCATCTTCATCATACACCTTAAGCAAATGCAGGGTAATGAATCCTGAAACCACCAATTCTCCATCAGTTCAGTAGTGCAGGGCCGAATTCCCCCTTCATTGTTCATTTCACCCATCTCAGAAAATAATTTATCCAATGCACCAGATAAGCCATTTTTCATTTTTAAAACTCCATCGGAGCACTTTCGCCAGTAGTGCAGTATATACAAGGGAAGTTGAAAAAGATTCTTTCTGCATGCCTGGATTTTCAAATTCATAATTGCTGTCAAATTTCATGCTCCCCACCCCCGCTTATATGGAAATCACGTCATTGTTTTCGCATGTAAAGAAAAATATACCCAAAAAATGCTTCATTTTTCTCTCATTTCCGGTAACAAACACGATGTTCTAACATCCACTGATATCTGATGAGCCCAAAACCAGTTTTTTATTGGATCTAAACGACCCTCCACCACCAGAGGATGACGAGGACGATAAAAGTTAGTGCATAATTTCTCATGGTTTTGCAAAACAAATGAGATCAGTGATTATCTTTAGAAAACCAATGCATGTTTTAGTTCTCTTGTTTTCAACTTCAAATAACATCTGCAATTCATCAATTCGCTGCATGAGGCGAAATCAAGTTTTAGAATTTCAAAATTTGTGTCATCCAATGATGAAAACATCGTTTTTTTATAAATTTTTTGTTGTTCGTTAATGTTGTACGTGTGAGAAAATTTATCTAATTTCCTCAATTTGTGAATTTTGGCTAATTTATATCATCTTCTACACTCTAAAGGTAATGGTGGGTGGTGGTGATTGAATTTGGGAATACTTGAAAGAAACGTGTACAATTCCGAGTTAATCCAACCTTATTTTGTTTCATTGGCATTGGTTATCCTAAAACAACGAAGAAAGGATAAGGTCATCGCACATGTGGCGTCATTACTTCTTCTTATTTTCATTACCAGTGGCCTTCAAACTTTATTCCATCAAGTCCTCATATTATTCATATTATTATCTCTTATTTTTATTGTCGTTTCTCTTAATCCTAGAGTTGCTTGAAGCAAATGTTTAAAGTCTACACTTTTATATATAAATCAGAACAAAGACCAACCCAGACTCTTCACTCTTATCTCCCTCTCTTATCATGGATCCTTATAAGGTACAGTTCCATTTTTCTTTATGTTGGATGGAATTATATCTAACAAAACTACATCTTCTTTTATACAGCATCGTCCCTCAAGTGCCTTCAATTCCCCATTCTGGACCACCAATTCCGGGGCTCCAGTTTGGAACAACAACTCATCACTCACCGTCGGAGCAAGAGGTAACTAATACGATACTTAGTGTTGTGTGTGTCTATTACATGTTTGTTCATTGTACACCATTTTCACGAAATATGGAGTTGCTATACCATCAAGTATACAACTTGAAGCTTTGGATCGATCATTAGAAAACCATAGGAGATGAACTGAAGAACACTTTTTGTTTTGCAGGTCCGATTCTCCTGGAAGACTATCATTTGGTGGAAAAGCTTGCTAATTTTGATAGGGAACGCATTCCGGAACGTGTTGTCCATGCTAGAGGAGCTAGTGCAAAAGGCTTCTTTGAGGTCACTCACGACATATCGCACCTCACATGTGCTGACTTCCTTCGTGCCCCTGGAGTCCAGACTCCACTGATTGTCCGATTTTCCACTGTTATCCATGAACGTGGTAGTCCTGAAACTCTGAGAGACCCTCGAGGTTTCGCTGTGAAATTCTATACTCGGGAGGTAATTAGATTTTAAAATACATTCTGCTTACTCAAAGTATTGTCATACTTTCATAGGTTCGAATCATGTTGACTGTTGAGGTGGGATTTATCATTTAGGTATAATTTAGCAGTGTTGTTATATATGATGCTTTTGCGTTTGCAGGGTGTTGTGTGTATACTTTATCAATAGATTAAAAAAATTCTGAACAAATATCATATTGCAATCACTTTGGACTATTAAAAAATATTATTTTTGCTGTTGGAAGTACTTAGGTATAAGAATTTTTTTTGCCATCAAAATTACTTGTAGAAAGTGTTTTATTTCAAGAAGTAATACTAATTAAAGACACCCTTCATTGATCTTTAACCAGGGTAACTTTGACATGGTGGGAAACAATTTCCCAGTTTTTTTCATCCGTGATGGAATGAAGTTCCCTGACATGGTCCACGCCCTCAAACCAAACCCCAAGTCCCACATTCAAGAAAACTGGAGGATCCTGGACTTCTTCTCGCACCATCCCGAAAGCTTGCACATGTTCACCTTCCTATTCGACGACATAGGCATTCCCCAGGATTACAGGCACATGGATGGCTCTGGTGTTCATACCTATACACTCATCAACAAGGCTGGGAAGGCACACTATGTGAAATTCCACTGGAAACCAACTTGTGGTGTCAAAAACCTGTTGGAGGATGAGGCCGTGAGAGTTGGAGGAGCTAATCACAGTCATGCCACACAAGATCTCTTTGACTCCATTGCAGCTGGGAGCTATCCAGAGTGGAAGCTGTTCATTCAGATAATGGATCCTGCTGTGAGGATAGGTTCGATTTCGACCCACTTGATGTGACCAAGACCTGGCCAGAGGATATCTTCCCGTTGCAGCCGGTGGGTCGAATGGTTTTGAACAAAAACATTGATAACTTCTTTGCTGAGAATGAGCAGTTAGCCTTCTGTCCTTCTATCATTGTCCCTGGGATTTATTACTCGGATGATAAGTTGTTCCAAACTAGAATCTTCTCCTACTCCGACACTCAGAGGCACCGCCTTGGACCAAATTATCTGCAGCTTCCGGCCAATGCTCCCAAATGTGTTCATCACAATAACCACCATGAAGGTTTTATGAATTTCATGCACAGAGATGAGGAGGTATATATAGAAAGACATGCATGCTCTCATGCTCCTACCATACTTACACATATAGAAAGCTAAGATGACATGATAAGTTCATTGATGCATTTTGACCCCTGATGATTTTTTTTTCTTATTAAGGTGAACTACTTCCCTTCGAGATATGATCCAGTGCGCCATGCTGAGACGTACCCTATTCCTACTGCCATTTGCAGCGGCAAGAGAGAAAAGGTTTTGGGTTTTTCCTTTCACCTATCATTTTATGATAATATTGTCAGTAACCCCAATTTAATACTATATTGCATTGCATTGTATTATCACAGTGCATGATTGAGAAGGAGAACAACTTTAAGCAGCCTGGGGAAAGATACCGATCCTTTACACCCGACAGGTTTCTTTTTCATTTTGATAAGAAATGTAAAATCCCTTCGTTTCTTTATGCATTCATTTGCATTTGTAATGTCATTTTGGTTGCGTCTCACTGTATCAGGCAAGAACGTTTTGTTCAACGCTGGATTGAGGCATTGTCTGATCCAAGGGTCACACATGAGATTCGCAGTATTTGGATCTCATACTGGTCACAGGTGGGACACTCATCCTTTGATCTTTAATTAATTTATGCAAGCACCCCAACATGCCAATTATCTTTCGGCTGATGCAATTGTGTGTTGGGCTGTACAGGCTGACAAATCTTTGGGTCAGAAACTGGCTTCTCGCCTCAGTGTGAGACCGAGTTATTGATGATTGGAGTTAATCAGGTAGCATTTGCAGGAAGTGAACAACTAGTTAAACACTGGATAATATGTGAACAATGAGGTGTTTCAATGTGTTGGTGCATTTATGTATTTTTAAGGACTCGAGAGAACCAGAGACCATCACCATATGAAGGAAGCTCCTTGAAAGTTAATAGTATTGTTGGCAATGCCAACCTTTTTAATTAATTCGAAAAAGAATGCAAGTGTAGTTTAAGCATTCAACAAATGCAGGCAACGGAATACACCTCATAACTGTCACTGCAACTCTTTTTCATACATCGGAACTATAAAAGTAACAAAAGATCTTGCCAAAATACAACTGGTAAAAAATGGATACAACAAAAGTTTATACACAGGGAAACCGGCCAACAGTGGTTTAGTTATCTGTAAGTGTATCGATATCGAAGGCCTTTCCTTTTTTACTTCATCACTTCAAATAGATCATTACATAACAACAAATTTGGGAAAAAGATCCTGATCATTTGATACTTCCTTAAATAGAGAATGGATACTTCAATAGCAAATCTTTATGTCTCCGGAAAACTATCACCATCATCATCATCCTCAGGATTCTCTGAGGATGTCTGTGGAAAGAATTCTTCCTCAGGGTAAATCTCCTTGAATAACTGCCATATTCCACAAGCAGCGTTACATACCAAACAGCAATCAGAAACGTTCAACATTCGGTAACTCGGTACAGTAGGAAAGTTCATCCCAAAGAACGAAGTAAATAAAAAGCTCAGTCATGTAGAATGCAATTTTAAATTTCAAGAACACCAGCAAATTATGTACCTTGACAGCCGCATCTATGAGATCATCATAGTTCAGTTTACCATCTGGCATGGGCGTGGAACAGATAAAATCAGCTTGACCCTGAAATCAAAACATAGTTCTGTTGGAAAGGGTATATTGACATCGACAAAGCACATCAACAAAACTCCAAGCTCTAGCAACTGTTAAGCATACTGAGTAATCCCTCTAAAACCCTGTCCCAAGTGTTAAACCTTTCTGGAATTATTCAGAAAAATGGAAGGCAAGCATACAAGAAAAAGCAACCATAAGAAACATACCAAAGTGAGCTCCTGACTATACAACGCACTCCAAAGTAGAGTAGGTTTTCCTTCTCCGGGATCACTTGGACCTGTAGAACTACTTTCTGCAGTCTCACTTTGAGCTGCAGCATTACTTTCAGAATTTATACGAGGAACTGTAAGAAGGGTGTTCATGACTGCATGAATTAATTTCTTCCCTTGATTGTCATCATTACTTAATGCTGAGATATATAACATAAACCTGAATAGACAGGGAGAAAATTTTATATTTGTGCATTGAGCATATAGACTGGAATTAATCCATTCTAGGTATGCATAAGATCGGAAAACTTTAACCAATTTAAGAATAATAACAGTGAAGATTCTCTATTCACTTCACTATCAATAAAAACTTAAATTTGAGCTCTTCATGTCTGAAAGATGATATGACTAAATGCTAGGTACAGTTCTGACTTCTCACAAAATTGAGCACAAATACATTCAGAAGGTAACCACGGGAAAAGCAGCAAAAGAAGGAAGCAAAAAGATGACAGTTGATAAAATTCGTTGTAAAACAATCAGAGAGAAGATAAAACCTATGCTCCTCAGAAACTAACGAACTTACATGCCCGGTGGACAAACAGCCAAATTGCTAGCTATTTGGAGAAGTCTGATGGAAGTAACCTGCTCAGGAAACAATGCTAGGAGAAAAAGGAAGTCATTGGCCTTTTACCCTAGTTTAATACATTCACAAAAGCAAAAGAAACAGATCTTACATCTTGGAGGATATACAACCAAAAAGTTTGACATGTCGGGCTTCAAAGAAGTCGTTGTGATGCATATTCCCCTCACTATCTTTCCTCTATCATGCTTCTGACTGAAAAATGGAAGCTTTGCTTGAAGTGGAGGTGGTGGGGATGAGCCTGATGGCAATGTAGCCTTAAAGGTTGGATCAATGATCAGTTTCTGGCTGAATATATCCTGACCTGAAGCTAATCTAACACCCTTGTAACACCCGGAATCCTGAGAATTTTTCAAAGAAAAAATATGAAGATCTTCTACTGTAATATCATAGCAGTATGCTCAGAATAACAAAATATCTAACATGATGCAGTCTGGCTTATGCTTTCCATACCTTATCTACAAGCAATGCAATAACTGGCATACGCAATACCTGTATCACATTAATTCAAATGGATTAGCATAATCTTACAGCTAAAATATAATGACTTCATGCAAAATCAGGCTGTCTGGTGTTGGGCATCTCAAAGGTATGAAATGCCTTCAACCAACTCGTAGACGAAATGAATATAGCTAAGTAGAACTAAAGCAGACAAACTCTGTTTACATTTCTCCAATTACGAGTATAATCGGATGAAATGTGCTTGATAGAGGGTATTCTGAAATGATTGGTAATACAAGCCACCATTCCTACACCATTTTAGATTAAAAAAAAAACCTATTGTAACTTTCTTCTGGAGTTTTTCTACAGATTGACACTAATTTGCTTAAGGCTTCCGTTTGCAGAAAGTGGTAGACAACCCAGCATTTAAATATCAAGCAACTGAATCCACTCAATTCACATGAAAGCATTTGGTAAAAAGTACCACGTCAGGATAAAGAAATATAAACACAAAAAAAGGTTAACATGCAATGATACAAACACACATAAACAAAAAAGGAGAACCTACAATGGTAGGAAATTCATCAGGACTACATTAAAAGTTGCCAAACACAAGATTTCTCTCCTCATCAGAACTTACATAAATGCAGCCTTTGACAGCAGCACGACGGTAAAATGCTTGGGATAGTTCCCCTTGCCCATAAATAGGATATAAAATAGCTCCAGATGCATTTTGAAACCTAGAGACAATGCATTAAACATCCTTAAGTCTCCTAAAAATATTTATATTCTCTAATTTTAAGCTTTATTTTTGTTATTACCACAGCTTCAGCCGTCGTTCAACTTTCATATGTTTTACGAACCAAAAAAAAAAAGAATACTGAAGAAATATTTTGGGATCATCATTGTGTGATGTTACACCGTCTTATATTTGTGTTTCATCATCGTGATTGTGTCGTCACCGTCCAATCCTTTACAGGTTCTCTTGCCTCACTTATAATCCTTCACTGGTCTTTACAATCCAGTCACGCTACATAGATCAACTTCTTTCGAATGTTACCGCGAACTCAAACCCCACTTCTCCTCAACTCTTTTAGCTACTCCGACTCTCCTTGCAAAGCTTATGACTGCCTTGAGATTATATATTGTCTGTCATGTTTCAATATCCTTATAAAAATTATACGTGGGACTCACTAATAGCATAATATCAATTATCATAAACTATCATTTATATTAACAAATAACTAAAAAAATATTATCGAATAAGTTTTTAGTTCGGTTTCATATTGAATCATGATAATTTAACATATTATCAATCAATCACAAAGACATACATGCTAAGATATATTAATCAATCGTTGTACTAACATACCAACTCACATTATAACACACCTTAGTACTTCTATTGTTAGTCAATCGCTCAATTCTCAATTTTAATTCTCTATCACTAATTTGGAGTGAATCTATACTTCATCTATCTTGACATTTGAACACTCATCTATGGATAATACGAAAGTTGAAGAATAAGGGTCCCTTTTTCCTATTAGTTTAATATATAAATTATTGAAAAAAACAATTATTAGACTCGACAAAAATTTAATTTAAAAATTATGGTTATTTTCGTTTAAGAAGTAATATATAGTGTTTAAGAAGAATAAAGACTGAAAAGATGCTGTTTGTTTCCTAACATAATAATTGATTTTCTTTATTAAATGGCGTATCATAATTGGTTTACCTTTAGTGGAGAAAATGCCCAAGTTGGGCCGAGGTATAATTTCAATAGATTTTATTATATTTATCATTTTAGTCAAACCCCAACTTATGATAATTTTATCCTCTTATTTTCTCTTTAATTAAATATAAAATAAGGATTTAAAATTATAATATTTTTCTATTTAGGTTTTTGAAAATAATTTTGGTCAGAGTAACTGTTCAATGTTCTATTTCGTAATCATTTTTAAATCATTCATAAAAAATACCTAATGAATACATGACAAGTGACTAGTGACAAAACTTGATGATAGAGTTTGAGGGATAATTTAAACTTTAAATAAATTCAAAGGTTTATATTAATTTTTTTTAAAAAAATTGAAGGGTTTAGTTTATATTTTTCCTAAAAAAAATATCTAACTAAATTATTTGAAAATTTGAGAGGCTTAATGAGAATTTTAAAAATTATAGGAAAGGGTTTAATCAATAACATTAAAATTTTTTAAAGTTTAATAAGAATTTTTAAAATTTTGAGGGAATAATTTTTTTTTTGAAAATTTTAAGAGTCATATTATATATATATTTTTTAAATTTTGGGAGACATGACCCCCACGTAGGGGTGTTCAAATAACCGAACTAATTCAGTTAACCGATCAAATCGAATTAGTTCGGTTAATTCTGTTTGGTTACCGAATTAGTTTAATTCGTTGTAGAGCCAAAATGAGGATAGATAGTGTTTTTAGTTCATTTTCATTATTCATTAGTTTTATTTTATTTACTAAAATTCCTATTACTTATTATTCAATAAACATTATACTTTTTTTTGAAATGGAATAAACATTTTACTTAATATAGTGACACATATACATGGTGTATCTATAACCATTCACTAAACTGATAATGGGAATATACAACATGTCAAACTTCCATGTTTGCCTTATTTTCAATTTGATCTCTATATTCCCAATTTTTATTTTTCAATTTTTAATTTAATCTCCGATAAACTATTATTTAACTAACTACCTCAATTGAATATAACAATTTTTTAATAAATTTTAATAATATATAAATTATTGAAAGAAAAAAAAACAATTATTAGACTCGACAAAAATTTAATTTAAAAATTATGGTGATAAAAAAAGAGAACATATATTATTGTAGGATTCATTTCCCTTGTCTTATTCTTCTATCCTTAATAATTCACCCAGCTTTACTCCTATTTTTCATGCTCTAATTCGCCACTTATCTTTATTATATTATTACTTTTCTATTTCACCACCATTTTTCCCTTGTTTGCATGTGCATTGCGTCGATAAGCTACTGTAGTCATACTATGTGTTATGCTTTAAGCTATGTTTCAATCATTTTTTCTTTGTTTGCATTCGTATTGCGTCCAAGCTTATCGAGGCCAGGGAAAAACGAGAATGAAAGGCAAGACTTCGACATAAAATTTTAGGTTAATAGATTTGTTGATGAAAGGTGAGTTTTAAGACAAGGAGTGTCTGAGATTATCATACGGTTTTAATGGTTAAAGAGGATATTATTCTTTCTAAAAATTTTGGATTTGAGCAACTACGTATACAATATGCGACTGTGTGTACATTGCTAATATCTAAAAAATATTTTGAACATATATTACCTTGTAATCACCACATACTATTAAAATAATATATGCATTTGTTTTTTTTTGATAATTAATGTTATACTATCAACTTGACCTAATGCCACCAGCTTCTTGCCCAAAAATAATTCACTAAACACAGGCATGCATGAGTCACGTGTAACGAATAATTTGGTAATTTAGGCTTCAAAGCAAGAACCAAATACCAAACTTTCGGCATAAGCTACTGTCATTTGGGTATGGTTTTCCAACATTTCATGCACCTCATGTTTAAAGATTTTTCTTCTTACATTAAAATATTTTGATATATAATATATTGTTAGTTTAATATTAATTCTAATGATATTATTATAATATATTTAAAAATTATAAATTTAAATATAATTGTCTTTAATTTATAGGAGAATCAAAAGAAGAGTTAAGGAAATTGATGCACAATATAACTTAAATTTTATCGATCCGATGGTAAAAAAAAAGACTACTACTATGGTATGGCCCTCCATACCTGGACCTTTGTGCGATATATTATATGCTAACAAAAGAAAGCATATATTCTTGTAGGATTCAAATACCTTTGTCTTCTTCTTCTATCTTTAATAATTCACCCAACTTTACACCTCTTTTTCATGCTCTAATTCGCCACTTGTCTATAATATACTATTACCTTTTCTATTTCACCGTCATTTTCTTTTTTAATCATCTGACGTGATTATAAAATAATAACGACGTAGAATCTTTCTTAAATATTTTTTAATAACATATAATTGTTTAAATTTAAATTCTCAAAAAAAAATAACAATTCCTTTTATCACATAATCCACTCAATAAGTTCTATTTCACTACTATTATTATTTTCATTCATGGGTTTTAAGAAACGTATTCTTATCTGTAATCGTAATTGTTTAACAAAGTAGAGAAGAGAAACAATAGTAGTCACCTATGCATGTATTCTTAGGAATCTCTAATTTATAATAAGTGGTGGAATAAAAAAAATTATATTTTAATATTAACATTTAAATATTTTTATAAAGTTTATAATAAATGGATTCGAGCAGCTAGTATCGGACTTTTTAAAAGGATTAATAATAGAATTTATTTTTCTTTGTAAGAGAAAAAAGAAGGGACTGTCGAGATTAAATCCAAGACCTAATGTAAACTACGACTAAAATAATATTCTTTGTCAATGCACCACATGTATAATATTCTAATTGAATTGTTGGATCCCATTAGGTTGATGAAAAATTGTTTATTATGTTAATATTTTGTTGATATTCCAATTCACATAATTTTTTAAAAAAATATGAATATATTTGTTATCATTAATAAATTCAAGGATTATATGCATAATTTGAATATGAATAAGTCAATAATTTCGATGTGGTTAAGAGTTTTTAGTTGGCATCTTATTTTCTTTTAAATTGTGGGTTCAATACTCATTAGGAATAAAACTCTCTCTTCCGTCCTTATTTCCTTCCCATAAGTAGAAATTATTTAAAAAAATATGAATTAAAATTATATTATCCACGAAAGTATCCAAAATTCATTAAATATGTATATTTATTAAAGTAGATTTTAAAAATAAAACATATAACAATTTTAGATCAAATATCTAAATCTATTATATTTGTAAAGATAAAATTGATTGAAAGTTTATTTTATCATACCAATTTGTTATTTTCAGAAGATAGACAACACATATCCAATAAATTTTTTCTTTGGCTTAATTTAAGGTGATTACAATATAATATTTTTAAAAAATATTTTTTAGTTTATTAGTAACTACACACCTTATAAATACATATCTTCAAACTCAAGTACTTTAGAAAAAACAACATTTACTTTTAACATTGAAACCGCTTAATGAATTCAATACATATTCAAGAGTTAATATCTCTATAACTCTACCGTGTATTATCGTTATAATATCTAAATTTGAATGTATTTAAATATTTAATATTTGAATATATAAAAATGAATTAGATATATATTTTTTAAGATTTATATCCATTCCTAGTGTTAGTACATCAATTTATTTTCATTATTTTTATTTATTCTCTCATGTCATAATCACATTTAAAATATTTTTGTATCCATTTGGAATTAAAGAGATCGTTGAGCATGGTTGACTACGTACGGGGAGTGAAAAGTGAGAATAGTGGAGAGACTATCTTATTTTATGATTTTATTTGAAATAATATTTTATATAAACGTCAAAGCTTAATGCGTCCCAACGTGGATTCCAAATGGGATGCTTATTTAAGCAATAAGTGGCCCCTCACTTTCATTTTATGACTCCAAATTCTCCCCTAGTTAATTATAAACGTACCAAAAATTGCAGCTTGGAATCCCAATGTTATTCCAATAATTGGTTAATTTTTCCCTATAAAACTACAACTTAGATAGCCAAATCGATAATCAATATATTTTTTAATAATACACATTAATTTATACATATTATTTAGGAACCGACCCAGTGGTTGCAATTTAGAAATTAAAGCATGATGGACGATGGAGAGACTGAAGGGAAAGTGGAGGAAAAATAAACAAACGACAAGTTCAAAATCTTGCTCATAACCTCCGTAACTTTTATCATCAAAATTTTTATAAAAATGATATTTATTTAAAAATTAACCATTTTAAATTATCATATTAGGATCATGAACTGTTATGTTAATGTTATAATCGATGTTTGATTTTTTAAATAAATATAAAATTGTCTTTTCTCATATTTTCCATCAGCTAACTTTTCTTGGTTTGTAATTATTTGCTTATTATATTTAGGTCTCTTTTGCATTGAAAAGGCATCTAAGTTTTTTTTTAATCCAACAATTCCTAAAGTTCAACTCCTTCAAACACCAGCTAGTTTTCAATCACCTATACAAATTATCTAATATAATATCAATTTTTTTATATATTTGAACGATCGTATTTCATATTTAAATACATATATCATTGATAAATATTGAATATAAATATTTTAGAAAGCATAGTAGTAATTAGTATGGTAGCATTAAAATTCAAAATATTAATACAAAGCTTATCAGTTGTAATATAAACGATACCTCTTATGAATCTATATAATGTTCATGTATTTTTACCTTGCTTGAAGAGTGCAGGCGTGCATGTTGATGTTATGTGTAGAAAACCCCAGTTCCTAATATGCCTATATATATATAACTGCTTAATGCATAAGTCTTTGAATTACAAAAGTGAAGGGAAAGAGCATTTTCAAAAAGAAACCTTGATGCAATTCCAGAACTAGGGTTTCAATCATATCTCATCCATCTATGTGATCTTAGAAAGAATAAAGAAGTTAAAAGAAGCTGAATCTGCATATAGGGTATTCAGTTTTCTTTGTTTCAGATTCTTGCTTTAAGCTGAGGCTTTGCTTGAAGTTGAAGGAAGAGGAAATCAAGGGAGAAAAGAAGTTAAAGGCTGAAGTGCTTATTCCTTGAACCAAAAGGAGATGCTAGCTTATTTGTTTTATTAATACTCGCTAGAATCATCATGGAGTCTGAAAATCTTCATCCCCGTGAACTTAAGGCTCAAGAGCTGTATGTTAAATATTCCTCTCTGGTAACTCCAACAAGCCATCCAGTTTCAACCATAGATGAATGGAACCCAAACCTCTTTCCGTAAGTACCTAAACCAGTTCCTTCTCGTTTTTGCTTTTTAAGGTTAAGGCTTCTGTTGTTTCCATTGTTACTTATTTGATCTGGATTTCTTCATGCAACACATATATGCTTATGGGGTTTCTTTGATTTTCAGTATAATGGTATATTGGTATTGTTTTCAAGTTTAATATATTGTGTTTTGTCGTTGTGCCTTTCATGCAGGAATATTGGTAGTAAACACAATAGGGATCTGAATGAAACCATGTCAAAATCAAGGGATCCATGCTTCAACGAACAATCTGCAAGTGAATTTCTGCTTGCAAATATCAAAGATGAGATGTCGGATTCCTTCCCCAGCCTGAGTGAGACGATTTACTGTCACTCTATAGAGCACTCATATCTACCATCTAAAAAGCACTACTGTGCACAATATCCTAGTGACTATGATCTTGGAGGAAATTATCTATGGCACAGCAATTTCTCCATTGCTAACAACATGACCGAGCTGCAGCTTTCGTCAGGAGAATTGAACAGTAATGTTCATCATTCCCCATGTCCGGGAACTACATTGGCAACGAGCAGACATGATTTCAATCATGTCTTTCCAAGTACAAACATTTCCACCTCGGATTTCTGTTCCACCTTGTTGTCAAGCTCTTTGGACTTGAACTTGAAATCCTTGGATCTTTTGACCTCAACGCATGATGGTGGAAGCTATAATCAATCTTTACTTGATATGATTCCCGGGAAATTAAGCAGAGGCGTGTTTATGGGCCATGAATCCCATGATCACAGAAGAGAACATAGTGATAGTACATCCACCAGTTCCAAAGTGGGTATCTTTCTCTCTTATTCTTATTCCTGTTTACTACCAAACAAAACAACTTAATAACGGAAAAGCTAGCCTTAGATGGAAAGATACAGGAAAAGGTTGCACTTTCCATTTTTCAGTTTTACAAACGAATCCTCAATACAAATTCATCTGCAATGAAAGAGTTATTTTTGCATTGGTCACTTTTAACATTTCAAGATCCATAAGCTGAATTGCTTGTCTTTCTACCATCATAAGGTATCATCCTTTGTTAGTGGATCCATTACAAGCACAAAGAGGCCAGGTAGCTTTTCTGATACAATGGAATCGACGCATACAGATGCTAAAAAGCATAGGTCCTCATGTCCCACATTGAAGGTGAAACTGATATTCCACTAAGAAAATCTGCAAGTTGTGGTTTCTATAACACTTTGTCAATCTCTTAAATAGCTTGGTCTTTGGTTTGTTCAGCTGCAGGTTAGGAAAGAGAAACTAGGAGACAGGATTGCAGCTCTTCAGAAGTTAGTGGCACCTTTTGGCAAGGTACATTTCATTCCATGTTACTTCCTGATCACCGTCCACTAAGTCTTGCAGTTAAAGAAGTTATATATTATTAGGGCCATACTTGTATACCTAAATATTCTATGTTTGAGTGACGGCCAGACAGATACATCTACTGTGTTAACAGAAGCCATTGGGTACATCCAGTTCCTCCAGGACCAAGTTCAGGTCATTTTCATTCATTTCACCATTGCATGCTTGTAGTTTCTTTGGGATCATGAACAAGTTTATTCTTCAATTTCCCTTTGCAGACACTGAGTGTGCCATTTATGAAGTCATCACAAAGCAAGCATTATGGGCCAAAGCAAGGGGTATGAAATTCCTTAGCTATCTCAATAAACCTCACAGTTGCGAGCCAAATGAGTTTTGAACTTAAAATTATAATCATCATTAATGGGAGAATCCATTATTGGCGAGAGAAAATTACAAGTTTGTTCCCTTCTTATTGGCTGCAGGGTTCAAGAGAGGAAGAAGGGAAAAAAGAGCACAAGTGTGACCTTAGAAGTAGAGGATTATGCCTTGTGCCCCGGTCTTTGGCATCACAGTTTATTAATAGTTGCTGTAGTGGGATTTGGACATCTCCCCATTGAGAGAACTTGAGGTTGTACGTAATAAATAGTCATTGTGGCCTTTCGGATTATGACGACTACAGGTGTATGACCGTAGGTTCAAGGTCTGGTTATGGAAGCTTACATCTTTGGCTGGCTCATTTCTACTTCATTTATAAAATCTTTATTAGGGACTAATCAACTTGACATAAAATCTTTAGGGCAATAAAGCACAACTAGAGAAAATATCATAATAAAGAATAGTCTGTCCGTCCATCAAACTTGGCCTCTTTTCCGATACAATTAAAACTTCAAACTCATAGAATCATGCAATGAAGGCCAGCGGTAAACCAAGATACTCCGTAATAAATAGTTCGTAGCATCCGTTACTAACATGTTCCTATTGATTCGGGCATTCAGACTGAACTTCTTGAGATAAGGAACCTGATAGAAGACAGTAATTTCTTTTTCTTGTCCTTCTCTTTTTCAGTCAGAATGAGAATCATGATTTGCAGAAGATCTCACCAATCTGCGCCTACTCTCGTCATAGACATCATCCTCATCTTCATTTTTCTTCTCACTAATTATACATGTAAAATGGTACATGGTTTTCAGCTCCGCTAAATGCTACAAATTGCATGTTTGTTCTAGGCAAAGTCATTTACCTTTCTTTATCAGAAAAACCTCAAAGTGTCATTGTAGCAAAATCAGCTTTCCCCCCAAGATCTTGAAACCCAACCAACCTATCTACAGCAACCCCTTTTCTGACCATACATTGCAAATATTCAACTTAGATGTGATAAAAGAGAGCATTGTATTCTAACTTCAACACTTGATACCAAAACTTATCAATATTTGTGCCAAGGGAAGATATGGCTGACCTGAAAATTATAACACAAGGCAAAGTTTTGACTGCAAGTTTGGTAACAAAGAAAGGAGCATTCTGCCAAAAAACACACAGAATCTTACGTTCGCAATTAAAGCAATTCCACAACCGGAATGAAATATGATAAATCTCTATCAAGCTTTAGAATTATTGTATGATTGTTGATGTTCACCTCAGCATCCAGCTTGATGAACTTTGTATCCACATGTTTTGCTGCAAGGGATTTCAACTGCTTATCCATTATCCTGGATGTCAATGCATAATACCCAATAAGTCTAGCAGATTTAAGATTGAGCATGCACGGTAAGTGTATCCAAACTATATGTTATGGTAGACACAGAAAAGTAAAAAACTTTACTTGCAACGATAGAATTCCTTATGGTAGAAGTGGCAAATCACTTTCTCGCTTCCAGTGACTTCACCCAAGAAATCTCCTTCAGCAATCTCCCTGTACTCTCCATGCCCTTGCCTCTTCATCGCTTCTCGGCTTCTTTCTATTCAAATAAATCTTAGTGTCATTTTGGACTTCAGAACAAATATGCCCGGATCTATAGACCATTTCACGTCATTTTGAATTAAGAATTGTCATTAAATTTCAAACCTTGAGAGCAGCAATCCTATCTGCATGCAATTTTTCCAGCTCAGGATCCTGTATACACGAAGCTCGTGAGCCTACAGAAAAGCAGAATAATGTAGAACGGATGAAAGATGTTCAATCATTAAATATAAAAAGCTTCATAAGACTTACATCCATCAGCTCATCCAGGTCAACCTCCTCGTTGACCGAAGCTGATGACTGTGCCTTCTCTTGGGCAAGCAGCTCCTATAAGACCACCACATTCACAAATTCACACACATTAAACATATAACACTCGGCATACCTATTTTCTTACCAGCTAACTTGGATAACCAGACATCAATTTTTCACAGCAAGTCAAATCCTTAGCCATTTAAAAACCACCATCAATTTATGACTATTATCTACAAGTTCAAGCGCAAATGTTGTCTTCAAGTTCTCCAACAAATTACAGCAACTTCAGTGGCTTAAGAGCAAAATATGCCCCAAAAGCAAGCATCTAAGAATCCAATTAGCATAGTGTATCCAATATTGTTGAGAAACTAATTATCACCTTTGGGAGGAGCAATATCACAGACAATACGACAATAAGCCACTTCTGTCTGAACAAATTTTCAGAGCATTACATGCTATTCAATGGAAACTCGGTGGATACAAATGGGCAGGATCAAGTCGACATATAAAAAAAATAAGCAAAATAAAGAGAAAACTAAGGTAAAAAGACACCCTTTTGATAGTCACGAGCAGCTGCTGCCATAACATTCCCGAATGCTAAATTAGACAACGTTGATTTAACTAAATCTGGATCCATTTCTCTTTCTCTGAAAGAAAAAAAAAACAAAAAAAAAAAGCAAAAACCGAAGCTTTCATGGAAATTAAATAGAAGCGAGCAGATCCAGGTATAACTAGGGATGCTTAGAGAGTTGAGCAGCTAATACTCAACTCGGTCAAAATTCGGTAAACGCTCGACTCGAGTTGTCTTGACTCGAACTTGAACTCGACACGAGACCTTAACGAGTTGAGCCAACCAAAGTCTAACTCTACTCGATTAGTTGGAGAACAACTCGTTAATTTTTTGAAATATATTTTTAGTAATTACTTCAAAATTATTTCATTCAAAAAATATATCTAAATAATAATTATTAATTTATTAATAAATAATAAATAATAAAAATAATAAGTTAACTAATATATTTTTTAATAAATAATAAAATATTATTAATTAATAATATTATTTTAATACATAAAAAACTCAACCCTAATATCCTCATATAGTATTAATAAATTTTATTTTTAGTTAAAAAATAAGGTAAATTTTTAATGAGCTTAACGAGCAACAATTCAAGCTTAATGAGCAACGAGTCGAGTTGAGCAGCAAATTTTTTTAACGAACACGAGTTGAACATAATTTTAACAAACAACGAGTCAAGTCGAGCATAAAAAAATTTTAACGAGCACAAGTCGAACACTATCCAATTCGCGATCGAATCGCTTAATAAACACCCCTAAGTATAACCTTACCTGCTAGATTTTTTATGAAAAATTGTTCCACTAAAGATTCAAAAAAAATGAAAAGAAAAATGGGATCTTGAAAATTTGAAGGAAGAGAGAGGTCTCACGTGAAACACACCGGTTTCAAAAACAGGCTTACTTTCGGCCCGGCTTGGGTCATGAAGGCCCAAAGTTGATCCTTATAGTTTGAATGTTTGATGTATCCATTTTAGGACAATGGACTGGCTTGAGGGTTCTTGCAGGCTAAGGGACCAGAAGGGAAAAAATACATTTTAGTACCTCAACTTGAATTCAAAGTTCAGTTTGGTACCTTAACTGTTTTTTTTTTCCAATTAGGTACTTCACTTTGGATTCTCGGTTTAAATTGGCACCCTTGTTTCTTTTTGTCCAATTAGATACATAAACTTGGTTTTTTATTCAAACTGGCACCTGAATTTGACTTCTTGATTTAATTTGAATTTTTTTGAATTTAAACCTATTTAGGCCAGAAAATATTTGACAAATTCAAATAATTTTGAAATTTTATATAAAACATTTTTATTTCAAATATAATAATTAATTAGACAAAAACACAATTATCAAATTAAACAAAAAAATTAGGTACCTAATTGGACCAAAAAGAAAAGCCTAAGTACTAAAATGAATCAGGAAATTAAGTTTAGGTACTTAATAGGAATTTTTTACCAAATTAAACATTGAAACTAAACTCAATACCAAAATATATTATAAGTTTTGTATTTGATGTACCGATGATATATTATAAGCTTTGTATTTTATATATAGTTTTGTATTAGATTCCCTATGAATAGTATGGTACATCATTACAAAAATTTAAATAAATTCTGTTTAAAAAATTTACAATGACATATCATCGTCGAATTTACTACAGATGATACATATCATTCATATACTTCCATTCATCAAATATAAATTTTAATTTATATCCAATAACTTTAAATATAATTATATGATATGAATATATAAACATGTTAAAGTTTTTTAGAAGCGATGTTAGTGGTTAAAGAATACTTATTATCTCTAAACGTCCTAGATTTAAGCACGACATCTACAATGATGTTTAAATGTTTATTGTCAAATAAAAGACTGAGTTTTAAACACATAAATGTTAACATTAGTTCTAATGTTTGTGCTCATCCTTGATCCATACTCCACCTCTGAAGCCAACATCATCAATTGGGAAAGACGCTAATTCCGGACACCAGCTAACACTCGCAACTGTCAAACTTTTCATCGCTTCTTGCAACATTGGCCATTCTAATTCCAAATCCGATTGTGATTCCAACATCAACCCTTCGATCTTCCAAACAATATTGTTGTGTCCCCAAAAGTTTTTATGCATATTCGCAAGATTCCCGGAAGAGATCGAAAGGTATTTAAGCAAAGGAAGTGATATAGGGTTGAGCCAAGCAGGACTCGTCTTTCCTGGATAGAACTTGAGTGACAACTCATGGAGTTGTTGTGGAGGACTGAGTTGGTCGAGTTTCGAGGTCAGATCACTCCCATGGCTATCGAAGCAAGTTATCAACAGATTCTCCAGATCTTGTAGGTTCACCAGTGCATTAACCTCGTTATCTTTAACTTCATCACCATGTGTTAAATGTAATCCAAGTATCCTCAATCGTGTCACGTTTCGTAGCTCTCCGATACGACAACCGTGGCTCGAAGATCCGGCAGGCCTATAACAGGACAGTACTTCGAGGTTCGAAAGCCTCCCCAAGCCTTTTGGCAAGCATTCAAGTGAATCACAGTTACTAACATCTAACTATCTAAGACCTTGAGCTTCTTCAAGGTAATGAGATTTTGGAGCAAAGTTTTCAGATTTTGGCAATAACTCAAGTCCAAAATCTGAAGGTTGGCGAGTTTTCCCGAGGAAGCTGGGAGTTCAATCAAAGGGTTAAGCTGAGATAAGTTAGATGTTGAGGTGAACCAATATGAAATAACAAGCTACTGATAGGCAATTCAAAGATCGAAACATCCAAAACTCGTAAGTATCGAAACTCACTGAGTTTTTTAGCAGTGCTTGATTCGATATTGTTCACTTCACCAGTTTTGGTTGTTGAAACCAATCCCTTATCCCCTTAGCTTTTGATTAGCAGTAATATGTTTTCTGTTCGTGCTGCTGGTAATCCCCTGGTGGCGGCAATTAGTACTATTTGTTGCGCAAAATG